AAATGAAGGCTTGAAAAGCACCCAAAGTTGCAGGGTAGGGTGATAGTTGCTAGCTGTATTTGTTTATGTCTATTGCAGGTGACACTTGGAGTCCTCCCTATGCTCATCAACATACAATCATGACAAAGTAAGAACTCGCCCCAGAGAAGTCATAATTATTGCATGCTTGCGTTTGGGTAGAGACATTAGGATAGGATCCTCTCATATTTTAACACATAAAATAGATGCCAAATTTTAAATAAAATTTGCCAATTGTGAAATCCACACTATTTAAGTACAACAATTAAGCTCTTAGAGATGCAAGAAGCTGTACAGGGTATTTATAGGAAAAATTAAGAATCCAGAAGAGAGACCAACAAAAAGTTACTTCTGTATTTGACAGTTGTTATAGCAACAGACACCGCAGTCTCTATTCCTTACAACATTGCTTAGGAAGTGACCAAACATAGGCATTGCAGGTTCATCAAAAACAGACACGGTTAACACTGTGTCAATACATTTTCATTTTAGGATCTAGCCAAAGCCATCTTATGTAACAGCAAAAAGCTGTTGGTGTGATGTAGAAGTTTTCATTACAGTGAACAATAGGAGCTAAATCCCTTACACCAATGTGAACCACAAACAACTCAAGTCAATGAATTATTTCAGATCTACATTCAACAGGGCACAATTTAACCCTTTGTGGGAATCCGTTAACTTGACTCAAGTGCATGAATAATAGACAAGTGCATGCAAGACTTTTTTGCCCTGATTGTCTCATTAAATGTGCTGTTTAAAACTACGGATTTAAGAGCTTAATCAGTCAAAACAGTTAACTAATAAGTTCATGCTCATCCATTATCCCTTACAGGTTAAACTCTTCATGGGGCAGGAGCTGTTAACCATTTGACTGGTGGAATTTGTGTCAGTTACACCATTAATATTTTTATCCGCTGTTTACATCCCCAGTTTTAAATGGAGATGTAAATGACTAGTCAATAGTCAACTACCCGACATGCATAGGCTCCTGCATCTGTATCAGATGCAGGAGGAGGGGAAGGAGGAACAGGAGCCTGTGCAGGGGGAGGGGGAGGGAGCCCACTTAAAAGCCAATTCTCTCCTCCCCTCCCCAAATCACCATATCCATGGTGCAGGGGTTCAAGAGAGGCAGAGCCGCAGCAGTCTCGAAGCAAGCACGAGCCAGGACTGCTCAGCCCCGATTCGCAGAGCTGCAGTGGGGTTAGATCCTGGGGGCAGGACATTTTACATGTAGTAAGAGCCCAGCAGCTCTTACTACGTTAACAACACAGAGCTGCAGCGGCAGCAAGCACCCTCCGCCCTGTATAGACTAATTCTATCGACTATTTGATCAGTTCATTAACCACTACTTAATACCCCTCTTTAAAACCCCATTAAAATTGACTATTAAGTGAACAAGTTGAAGTGCCATAAAAACCTTTAGTTTTGCATTTCCTTACGGTTTCACAAACATGAAGAAGCAATGTTGCCTTCCATCTTTTGCTTTTTCTCTTAATAAAGAATATTGCCTGTGCTTCATATGGACATTTAAATCGTCCTCATTAGTCTCCGGCATTTATACCTCCCCAAAGGTTAGCACAAAACTCTGCTAACAAGGCAGCAGCCTATTTGTACTTTTGTAATATACGGATAAATGCAGACTGAAACAAAGATTGCTGAAGTCCCATCCTACAATTCTCATGCAAAGAAGGACACAAACTTTAAGGATTTGTTGTGTTTTGCTAAGTCTCCTTCATGTAAACGTCCCAGCAGTAGGAATGTAAAAACTCCTAAAAAAAGGTTAACATTTTAACCAATTAAAATTTAAATCAGTTAAACAAGCTCCATGGGCAGCTACATGGGCCCCCAGCAGTTTAACCATTTACCAGAACCAATAAGCATCTTAACAGTTCACCTGTTAACAGTTTAAACTCTTCCATCCATACCCAACAGCAGTCCCAGAGCAGGAAGAATTGAAGTGGAGCGAGGACAAGGCATTGTTAGGCTCTGCTCAAGAGTGATTTTAAGCTACTCGAAGATTTAGCTGGCATTTCTTGGGTCAGCAATATCTCTGTATGAATCTGGGATAGAGGTTCAGCTCCCCCACCACCCTCCCTAAAGGGTGCATGGCAGGGAGAGGCGTGGCTGTGGCTGGAGATGAGGGGTTCAGTATGCAGACTGCCTCAGGGAGAGGACAAACCCAGCCCACTGAAGCAGCTGTCCATGGTTTTGGCAGCTCCAGCAGGCACAACTAGGGGAGGAGGGACAGGCTGTCTCACAGGAAGACAAAGAAAAATATATATAGAGAGAGTTGCCCCTTTCCCTACTCCTGCCTTCTGCTGCCCAACAGGGTTAGAGCTATCCCGGTCCCTTTCTCTGGCCCCTTGCTACTCCCTAGTGGTCATTATACAGTATAACTGGCCCTGCGAGCAGACCCCTCTCTTTCTGCATTATAAGAAATCAATCACATTCTAGGCACATCCCATAGTCCTGGCACAGCCAAACCCTTACCATGCTTTAAGCTATGGCAAGAGGAAGCTGCATATCAAATATGGTGTTCCTAACTCTTACTATTTAGGAGGAGAACTTCGACGGACAAACTCTCTCAAATATGTAGTAGATGAAGCTATTTTAGTTTATGCAACTAGGCACTAGTTCTCATTATGGATGGAACTACTGTCAAGAGGGTGCATAACTGGTTGGATTACTACTCTCTGGTAATAGTACTACTCTCTGATAATAGTACTACTCTCTGATAATAGTATCAGAGGGGTATCTGTTAGTCTATAAGGTGCCATAGGACTCCTCATCGCTTTTGCGGATTCAGACTAACAGATTTATCAGAGCATAAGCTGCCGTGGGCAAAGACCCACTTCATCAGATGTATGCATCTGACGAAATGAGTCTTTGACCATGACAGCTTATGCTCCAATAAATCTGTTAGTCTATAAGGTGCCACAGGACTCCTCGTCTCTGGTAATAGTTATCAGTGGTTCACAGTCATGCTGGAAGGGCATAATGAGTAGGGTTCTGCAGGAATTAGTTCTGAGACTAATCAATATCTTCATTAGTAATTTAGATAATGGCATAGAGAGTACACTTACAAAGTTTGCAGATAATGTCAAGCAAGTTGCAAGTGCTTTGGAGGATAGGATTAGAATTCAAAATGATCTGGACAAACTGGAGCAATGGTCTTAGGTAAACAGGATGAAGTTCAATAAGGACAAATATGAAGTACTCCACTTAGGAAGGAACAATCAGTTCCACACATAAAAAATATGAAATGACTACCTAGGGAGAAGTACTACCAAAAATGATCTAGGGGTCAAAGTGAACCACAAATCAACAATGCGACACTGCTGGGGAAAGGGGGGGGGGGGGGAAAAAGAGAAAATCATTCTATGAAAACTGTAAGCCAGACAAGTAGTTATTCTTCTGCTCTGCGCTGATTAGGTCACAACTCGAGTTATGTGCATCCAGTTCTGGCATTACCTTTCATGAAAAATATGGACAACTTGGAGAAGGTCCAGAGCAGAACGACAAAATGATTAAAGGTCTAGAGAACATGACCAATGAGAGAAGATTGAAAGTACTGGGATTTGTTTAATCTGTAAAAAAGATTGAGAAGGGACATAATAGCTTTTGGTTCCAGCACTTTGAGAGTCCCCTTAACTTAGCAGAAGGCCAACATGTCTCCACAGCGCTTCATATAGCATGATGTGTGCATTCGTGGCCCCAATTTAGTCAGATTTTTGCAATGACTTCCATGAAACCAGGATTTCATCTAACAAAAATAGAAATGTTTAGGTATCTATTTTCTTCAAACATTTCACTTTCATAGTCTGCAGCCAGGGCTGGCCTTACGATGAGGCGAACTGAGGTGGCCACCTCAGATGCCAGACTGTGGGGGGAGGGGTGCGCCACTAGGACCCAGAGAGTAGAAAATTGTGTCTGCTGCTGGTGCATATCTTTCTCTCTTTTCTGAAAGTTAAGTGTTTACTTAAAATTTTTGAACAAGGCATTTTAAGTCGTTAGTTCTCCTTTATTGGGGTAGGTAGCAGAGCAGTACCGTGAGAGGAATAGAACAGGAAGAAGGCAGAATTGAGACTTTTCAAAGTTTTGGCCCAAGCGAGGGGGCACGGGGGCGTCATTTGAGCTCCCTGCTTCAGGGGGCCAAAATGTTGTGGGCCGGCCCTGTCTGCAGCATTTGAAATCCAAATGCTGTACTACTAAGCACCTTAAAGTGTTTCACTTCAGCAGAAACTAACAACATTAACTACAGGTTGGACATCCCAGGTCCTACACCCTTGGGATCTGATCCGTCCCGGATCAGGGAAGTCATTTCTGGCCCTGTTGCCACACACCAGACTCTCGGCCCCCATGCCAGCCAGCCCGTTGCCGGCATTCCCTTCCTTGTTGGCCCGCAGAGCTCTCGGGTGCCAGCCCTCCACCAGGACCCTGATCCTAGAATATCCATGGTCTTTCCGGACCATGGATCTTACTGGACCAGAGTCTCAGTTTACAGAGTTGCAACCTGTAATCTAATTTAAGTGCTCACGTGGAACAAAACTAGCAGAAGTAAACTAAAATGGAAAAAAAAAGATATTTAAAATTGAGTTTAGCAGTTTATGACCATAAAAGAAAAATGTTTGCATTTAGGGGTATAATTTTTATCTTCACAGTGCCCCTTTAAATGCACTTACAGAATATGGTACAGATAAAGCAACATATACAACAATGAATAATGAGAAATGGAAATGAAACCTTATTTTATTATTAGCTTTAGTTACTAAATTGGCCTACCTCTAAGCTACCTTCCACAAAAGCCAATCATTAACAGATCTTGCCATCCTCATGACAGAAACCAGAACTCAATTGTGCCATTGTTTTTCCAACATTAAAAGTAGTGAACACCTCTGATGGAAAAGGAGAGAGGCTGAATATACATACAGGCCATGCATAAAAATAATAGTTGTAATTATCAAAGAAAAAACAAGACTTACTGTGTTGCATTTTGTCCCACACACCACTTGTCGGTGGTTCAACCATTGAGATGCAAAAACTTTATTAAGAGTCCCAAGATGAAATTCTCTCTCCTTCAGGAGACTGGGAAGTTGCTGTGCTGCATATCCATGCAACAACCGGTGGTAGCTGGATTCGTTTTGCATCCGAACCTCTCTGCCTTTCAGGTAGTACACCAGAGACTTTTTTACTGGGGGGAGTCTTTTCCTTTTGTGAGCTGAGTGATCCCAGCCATACTGTGAATGACAATCAAATTCAATGCTGTAGTTACAGTATATTTTAAATAATGTATGATTCTATATTAAAAAGGAAGCTACCAATGAACGAACGAACTCTTGTAACTGGCCCTAAAATACTACACAAGAGGATTAAACCCATCCCAGCATAACCTTCAGTGATATTAAGGATTTTAAAATACATATCTGTTTGACAACTGTTTTTGCAGGGATTCTCATAGACTCATAGACTCATAGACTTTAAGGTCAGAAGGGACCATTATGATCATCTAGTCTGACCCCCTGCACAGTGCAGGCCACAGAATCTCGCCCACCCCTCTTAGAATAATCCTCTCACCTATGTCTCAGATATTGAAGCCTTCCAATACTTTGAAGGCCCCAACATGCAGAGAGTCCTTCAGCTGTGATCTGTGCCCAATGCTACAGAGGAAGGCGAAAAACCTCCAGGGCCTCTGCCAATCTACCCTGGAGGAAAATGTAAATGTACCCGGGATGATGTAAAGAAGCTGAGGCCAATTCTGACTGCAGGGTGTTGCTGTTCAAATGAAATTTAAAAGATGCCTTGAGGAACAGAAAATCCCAAGGCACTTACAAAGAGCTGAAAATGTCCCCTGGTCAAGATAGTCTAACAAGTTTAATTCTATGATTTTTGACTGAACTGTATCAAATCCAGATTGCTGCAGGCGGGTTCCAGCAAATATGGGCCCTCGAAATGAGTGGGGGTTTTTAAACTGCACAGCCTGGCTCAATACCGACCTGAGTGGTAACCTGAGCTCCGAAGCACTTCCTCCCACTGCGTTTACAATCACTCCGGAGCATCTAGCACTATTGGCTTGCCCGCGGGGGCAGCAGCGCCCACCTCCCTCCGCCCCAGCCCCGGAGTGCGAGTCGGTTACAGGGCTCGAACGATGGAACCAGAACACGGGCAGCAGCCGGAGCCCGCAGCGCCGCTGGGATGTGGGGGTGGCCCCCAGGCACCCCGCCCGGGACCGCCTGACCCCCCAGCCAGCGGACACGGCGGGGCCCCACATGCCTGAGCAGCAGGCCCGCGGTGAAGGTCAGCAAGGCGGGGTAACCTG